CCCTCACCCCCATCCCAGGCCCCAAGAAGACTTTCCACATCAAGCAGTTGTTCACCTGCACATCTGCCAATGTGGTATACTGCATCCGCTGTACCCGGTGTGGCTTCCTCTACATCGGAAACCAAGCGGAGGCTTGGGGACCGCTTTGCAGAACACCTACGCTCGGTTCGCAATAAACCACTGCACCTCCCAGTCGCGAACCATTTCAACTCCCCCTCCCATTCCTCAGACGACATGTCCATCCTGGGCCTCCTGCAGTGCCACAACGATGCCACCCGAAGGTTGCAGGAACAGCAACTCATATTCCACTTGGGAAGCCTGCAGCCCAATGGTATCAATGTGGATTTCACAAGTTTCAAAATCTCCCCTCCCCCTACCGCATCCCAAAACCAGTCCAGCTCGTCCCTACCTCCCTAACCTGTTCTTCCTCCCACCTATCCCCTCCTCCCACTCAAGCCGCACCCCCATCTCCTACCGACCAACCTCATCCCGCCCCCTTGACGTGTCCGTCCTCCCTGGACTGACCTATCCCCTTCCTAACTCCCTACCTACACTCACCTTTACTGGCTCCATCCCCGCCCCTTTGACCTGTTTGTTTCCTCTCCTCTATCCCTCTTCTATCCACCTCCCACTCTCTCCCTATTTATTTCAGAACCCCCTTCCCCTCCCCCTTTTCTGATGAAGGGTCTAGGCCCGAAACGTCAGCCTCTCTGCTCCTATGATGCTGCTTGGCCTGCTGTGTTCATCCAGCCCTGCACCTTGTTGTCTCGGATTCTCCAGCATCTGCAGTTCCTACTATCTCTGGGTATTAAGTTCAATGTGTTTGATAGCTGACTTTTCCATTCACTGTGCTTGACACAGGTTTGATTTTTCATGAGTCTAGAGTGGATGCTGCACCCTATTTCCCTAATGGATATTTATCAACACCACTTCATCATAATGATCAATTAGCAGCAAGAATGTTAATTTGTACAGGCTGATTCAAACACAATAGCCTATCCAATCAGCATTAAGGTCCCACCCATATTCCCTTTCTCCACTATATACAACTTTCATCTGTTCTAGTCATTCCCTCAGTTAATTGGTAGTATATTCTACTTGAAATGTGACGTCTCCCAATTGTTCCAAGTAACTCCATTAAGGTAGCAATTGTTCTTTTTATAGTAAAGTTTATATGGTGTAACTTAAAATTGTTTTACTCAGTCTGTTTGAAGTCCTGTCATTTGCTGCCATAAAGTTTCAAAATGCTTTTTTTATCTTGAGTGTTTGTTTTTATTCAGGTGAATTGAGCTGAAGAGGTCTGAATGACTTTTTTTTTCCTACTGTGTTATCTATTGTGTGAAATGTGATTTATTTCATTCAAATTTTCCTTCACAATTAGGAAAGTAATTAAAATTGCTAGATATATTTGTGTAATATTGAGGATTTAGCATTATAATTGACTACATAATTTTACCTCTTCTTAAAGAACATAACTATCCATAGTAGAAAACTTCAAACCGTGCACCTCTTCCTGTTGTTCATGTTTTGTTTAGTGGAATATGCCTTGAATATAGCATTTTACTGGTGGGCATTTGTTCCCTAATGTCTTGTCTTGTACATCATTAATGCATAATTAGGACTTGTTTGCATCATTCCCTGGCTGCGGAGTTTGAGAGTCATTATAAAAATTGGAGCTTTAGTCTTTCACTGCTTTATTATTACCTATGTAAGATGGTGCATTTGGAACTGAAAGGGTTAAATTATGAGGATTGGTTGCAAAGACAAAGCTTGTGTTCCAGTTTAAGGCTGATTTTATTTATCTATTCAAGATGACTAAAGATTCTGATAAGGTCTGTAATGAAAAATTTCCTTTACGTAAAGCAAGATGAAATAACCTTAAAATTAGAACTATTTGGTTTTAGGGGTGATTGTCAATATAGAGCATGTAGTTCCATTGAGTGTCAGTTGACGGTTTCAAAAATAAGATTGCAAATACAACAACTGGCAAGTGTAATGAGAGCTGTGGAACCAAGGTGGGTTGATGGAGTTATGTAACAGTGCAGCTGTCGTCTAATTGAATGATGCATTGTGGTCAGTGGCCTACTCCTGTTCCTATATGCTTCAATCGTTTACCTTGAATACCTTCCAGAGTAGGTGAAATGCTGTTAATAAATCTGCAGCCAGATTGATTTTGGACATTCTGAATATAATTTGATTATTTATAGTGATGGTGTGTTAAGCTCATCTATGAAGCTTTAGAGTAAACTTAGATAATTTAAAATGTTAGATTGTAAATCCAATTTGGCTATACAGGTGGTCCTCAATTTACAAATGTACAAACTTATGAATGCATTCACAAATACGAGCAATGCCATATGTGGCTTTAATGTTTAAAGACCTGACGTACAAACATTTCCTGTCGTTATGCATGGCTGCTGTCCATTGTCCTGACTTGTGAATGGATTCGAGAATGGAACCTGTTCGTAACCCAGAGACTGCCTGTATAGTGTCAGTGATATAACAGGAGATGGGGAGAACGGCAACAAGATGGTTGGCAAGGCAAAGATTAAATGACCTGTATATTGGATTATAACCCAGACATGATCAATTAGATTAGTGCATTTCTACCAACTGCATAAAATAGAATATATTTAATGTTAACATAGAAATAGTGAAAAAATAAGTAATTTTGGTTGTGTTCCTTTATTTCTAGGGTGATTTCAAACTAATGTGCGATAATGCAATGACTTACAACCGGCCTGAAACAGTGTACTACAAGGCAGCAAAGAAGCTACTTCATACAGGATTTAAAATGATGAGTAAAGTAAGATGATTTTTGTGACTTGTCTCATGTATGATGTGACTAGTGATGGGTCAGCACAGTATTCTATTGAAAAGACTCGCAAATGCAGATTTTTAATCTGTTTGCCTATAAAGGGCTGTCACTGATCTGATTAAATTTTCACTTGGCTACAGCATCACACAGTTGTTGCTGTCATACATGCTAGGAGAGGGAGAGGGCAATTGTCAACTATCCTGGTGTTCACGCTATATTGGAGAACATCTCCACTTAAAATTGATTTAGTATGCTGCATGTTTCATTTATACTGTCAAAGAAGACTAATATTTGTGTTGACTCATCACAAGCGTGACTAAACTAATACGTACGTTGCTCAATTATTTCACCATAGTTTGTATTACTAGGAATGCATAACATAAAAGAGGACTATAAACAAAGTTTACTTGAAATGCATTTTATCATGGTGCATAATAGAAGTAAGTTGACATTTAAAGCTTTTGTCCTGTTTGCATGGTTTATAATATTAGTGCTTGTTTTGTTTTTGTGGAGTGTTATTTAAAATGTGTTCAGCATTCCCCTGAATGTGTTTTATTTACTCCATTATTTTCATGACCTTGTGCTATGGTGTTGATGGCTGTAGTCTTTTGTCAAGGCATGCCATAGTATGTGATCCATCTGTCACACTAGTGGTTTTTTCCACTAAGCCATTGAGGCACAACAGCGCTTGCCTGTAAACTCTCATTCACAAGAATGTGAGTCATTAAACACCGTACACATCAATGACCAGCTATCACTAAATGCTGTGCATGTGCATGCAGTTCACCCCAGCACTTGGGGAGAAGTAAAAAGCGTGCCCTCTGTGTTCTTTGCTTACAGGAACGTCTGTTAGCTTTGAAGCGCAGCATGACATTCATGCAGGAGATCGATTTTTCTCAGCAGGCAGCACTGTTAGGGGATGAAGATATAGCACAAGAGGAAACTGTTGCAGAAGTTACTGTGGCACCTGTCGAAACAACAACCAAGAAGTCGAAGAAACAAATTAAAGAAGTCATAAGGTAAATTGATTTAAATTTGAAATTGTTGACTCTTTTCTAAAGCAGCTTTTGAACATTTCCGAATGGAGTGATGCATTTTAAGAAGACAGAACCTATGCACTTTGATACAATATTCTAGCAGGGGATGTGGGCATTACTGGCAAGGTTAGTACGTTATCCGTCCCTGATTGCCTTTCAGAGCAACCACCTTGCTGTTGGTCTGAAGTCATGTGTAGGCTAGATTGGGTAAAGGTGGCAAATTTCCTTCCCTAAAGGGCATTAGTGAACCAAATGGGTTTTTCTAAAAATGATTTCATGGTTACCATAACTGAGACTAACTTTCAATTCCAGAATGCTCTAAGTTTAATAATAAATTCAATTACTTAAAGTTCCACCAGTTGACAGGATGGGATTTGAATCCATGTTCCTGGAGCATTAGCCTAGGCCTATGGCTTACCGGTCCACTAATGTTATCATTTTACCACTGTCTTCCCTAAAATGCCAAAATGTTTGCAACTTCAAAGAACCACTAAGGTGAACTGTTTGATTAGAAGTAGTTGAATTATCAGCAATAACTTTAGGTAGCCGTCATGTTATCCTATTGAAGTAGCCTTATCTGAGTGGCTTGGTAGTATCGGATGGTACTTGATTAAATATCTGATAGTTCAGTGCAAATTGATTAGTGTACCCAATACTGTAGTGGTGCAAGATCTGTGTTCTTGAAGTATCTCTTGCTCATGTGGCTTTTTAGTTCCCTGGCCTTCGGAGTGTATATTTTATTTATCCGGTCTCATCTGAAACATTGTTTGCTATGATGTTGACCACCTTTTGTTCAAGTGATCACTATATTTGTGTAGCATTGACCATGACTATCATCGGTAATTTTGGTCTTTTTCTCAGTTGATGTGCATACAGTGGATGCTGATAAAGACTAGTGTACCTGGCTAATTCATGTTCCATTTGTGAAGCCAATTTGAGAATTATTTCTCTGTGCTGATTGAGATAAGCTAAGTTGTTATGGACCAGGAATTCCACTTAACCTTCATGGCCTACACATTCTGTAACAGGATCTCAAAATATGAACAATTATGTTGTACTGTCTTGGTTCTGCTATATTGGCTAGATTGGGGAATACTGTGGACAATGTACTTAGAGTTGAATAACGTGGATGCACCTAATTTACTTTGCTCGCATCCCACCATCCATCGTTACATACACAATTTCTTCTCTTTTCAGTTACTTTAATGAGCCAGAAGGGAATGCATGCAGCTCAACAGACAGTACAGCTGAAGAACATGTCCTGGCCTTGGTGGAACATGCAGCAGACGAAGCTCGAGACAGAATTAGCAGAAACGCAGCCAATAGCAAGGTATGTCGGTGTAACCAATGACTAAAAAATGTTAATGTACTTGAAGTTATGTTCACTTGTGCAGTTAAAAACTGGAAGTATGTAGGAAATGACTATTTTATTAGTTGTGTTTTTATGGACTCTGACTGAACACATTAATATTGGAAAACCATTGAACTATATAGGGCAAAAGGATGCAATTTTGTTTCATAGCTTTTCTTTAAAAAAGAAAAAAGAGCTATCCTTAATCTCATTTCGCCTGCCTCTTCCCCCATAAGTATTCAAGTTTCTGCTTGGTTTTTTGAAATCACTTCTCTTGTAAACACTGCAATGCGTTTTTGCTTCTGATTATTGTTACGTGCAGGCCCAAGGTCTGAAATCCAGCATCCTAGGAACTGTGTGTGTCAAATTTCAGATTTTCATTGGTTTTTTGATTACCCACCATTAGATTGGACAGGTGAACAGAATATTTTCATGTAACTATCCAAAGGAGTGCTTACCTGAGAATCGATCGAGAATTCATAAGGCAACATGGTCGGAGGCTCATTGCTCAGCAGAAACTCAGTCTTGCTTCTATGATCCCGTCACTGGAATCAAGTGAAAATATACAGAGGCCAGTTTTGATTGGAAGGAATTATTGGATTCGCAAGAGGATTACTTAAAAACCTTACTGAATGAGTACTCTAGTATTATATTAAGAATACAGGCCATGTAATGGAGCTCCACTACTCTAACTCTAACTCTAATTGAGAATTTCCTGGGGCTGCAGACCTTTTAAAGAGAGAATCCCAGATTCTATTCCACCAGTGAAACTATTGCTTTGCTTTGTAACCAGAAAATACCAGTATGGTGGGATGAGGGCAGGCACATTTTAAAGCACTGTGATGGATTCCGGTCCTGTGTATAGGCGCAACTCTTGCTAATTGGATCCTTTGGTAAAACATGAGAATAGCCTCATCGTTCGTGTTCTTATTGTGTTCCAGGATTAGCACCCAGATTCCTGGAGATAAAAATCTGATTCTTGGATAGAAGGATTTTGAATAATGTATCTATTGACAAATCTCGGAATAAAAATAATTCTAGATAGTCCCTTCTGTTCTTTCACTGAATTTAGTTTTATGGCCTCTTGTTACCATCGTGCTGACTAGTGTAAGAATTTATCCCAATTTACATTATTTGCTGGGAAATATTACCTTTTTGAGATGATTGCTGTATACACTGGCACAGTTATTAGCTGTTTTGTTATAGGTGTGACTTAACAAAAACACTACCATAGATCTATACGTGATGATGAGTTATATGCACACATCATTGTAGCATCTTCAAACATTACGGTTTTGAATGGATGAGGCTGTTCACTAAATAGATTGCTTGAACTGTCCACAGTGAGTAAATGAAAGCACTCGAGTACCCTTTTTCAATCTGTATTGGATAGATACTTTTAGTCTGATTTTACTTCTATTTTGAATAATTAACTGTATTTGACCCAATACATGATTTATTTTCTTGCAGATCGGCTATCTCAAAAAGGAGGGTGATGGGCCTCTGCTCTTTGCTGTTGTAAACCAGTCAGATCCAGAAACTGAAGGCAAGTTGTCTTTAATGTTCAATTATATTTAAAATATTCTGGGACAAATGCTTTTGATTTTTGCAGTAATCCAAAATATGATGTGACGTATCCTTTTACCGCATTCCTGATTTTTCTTCACAGTGGATATTATTGATATTTCTGTATCATTTGAGTTTTGGCTCATGGTTTTCATTCACTCTGAAATGGTTTCCTCAAACTCATGATCAAAACTTCAGCAAAATTGGTTTGCTGTGTACAGCAGAGTTTTTTTTTCCCTGCAAAATGCAATAAGCAGAAGGTAGTTACATAATATAAATGGTGTAAAGTCAATACCCATCACTTCCAGCAGTCTCCAAACATAATTGATGGAATAATTATCTAATCATCTCCAATCTGGCTGAAACTTGTAGCATTATAAGCAAACTTTTTTTTTTCTGTTCTGAATTCAAGTGGGCTCAGTGTAAAAATGGGCTGTCAGCTCACCGAACACATGCTCTGCTCTGTGACAGAGCAGTTTCACCCCCTAATAAAATCAAATACTGCAGATGCTGAAAATATGAGATAGACACAAAAATGCTTGAAACTCGGTATAAATTAATAACTGAATTGTTAAGTTCACCTGATTTAGATTGAACCACTAAGCATAATGCAGCCATCAATAAGTATTGATCATTTAAAGTTCGTTGGACCAGAGATACTACAACAGTTACAATTGAAATTAGTTGGAAAACTGAATTGGACTAAATGGGCCATTCTTATGACAAGATTGTCTAACAGTGGAATGTCACAAGGATCAGTGCTGGGGCCTCAGCTATTTGCATCTGTGTCATAAATTTTATTAGCGCCTTGAATATTTAATGTAAGGAAGTCTTGTATCAAACTTCAGCGAGACCATATTTCAAGTACTGTAGATATATTTAGTATCCTTACCTAGGGTGGAAGATACATGTCTCGGAGATGCAACAAGTGTTTATTAGATCGCATATTCCAGGAATCAAGTGGTACTTTTTGAGGAGAGATTTAATAACTGTGGGCCCATGTTCTCGGAGGTCTGGTGAATGGAGGAGAAATTAAATTGTAATGTACAAAATTCGTGGAAAGCTTGACAGAGTATAATTTGAGAGACTATTTTCCAAAAATTAGGAGTCAGAGGAAGGAGACCACTATTTTAGCACTAAGATAAAGAGAAACATCTTGATTTAGAGGGTTATAAGCAACGTTCCTTCCAAACTGGAACGAATCATTGTGCCAATGAAAGCAGAAGCCATTCAAAGCCATTTCCACACACGGACATTGTTTTTTTTTCTACTCTTGCACAGACCCCCATACAGGGAATATTTGTTGTAAGTCTTTGACATTCTTTACTTCAGAAAGGGACTCAGTTTTGACTATACTTATTAACTGAGATCAATTGATTTTTGGGCATGAAGAACATCAAGCAAGTAGGGATGAGGAGGGAAAGTGTGTTGGTAAAGAAATTCAAACCCGGTTTCATGAATGACCAAGTATGCTCAATGCATGATTAAAGCTTTGCACAGCTCCCAATTCTTACATTCTTATGCACTTACAAAATGAAAATTAAAGGCCTTCTTAAGTCTTTTTAATTTAATAGTAAGTTTCTCAAAAAATATGCTGAATGCTTCATTATACGTTGCACCATCATAGACAGGATATAACAAGATGTATAGCACTTGTATTCATGACATTTCATGCTGAGTAGAACTTCCAGGAATGAAAACTTGCCCCATTTTACAGAATTCCAACTTTTGAATAATGGTATTCTGCCCTTTTTTCAAATTTATTTTTTTTCTTTGTTGCCTTTTCCCACCTCCACCTTCTCTTGACTGCTGCTCTCTCTCTTGAGAGAGGACTCTCTGCTGCTGGCCACTTGATGAGCCACAGGGTTCAAATGATGAAGGAGAGATGGAGTGGGAGGTGGATTGAACAATGGATGAAAGATTCAGAAGGCCGGAGGAACGGAGCAATGGAGCCAGGATTGCCTTTTGGGGTCTTAGGGGAGGAGAGGAAGAAGAGTAAGGAATATCTGGGTGATAAAGGGGAACAGCGGAGCTGGGGTTCAGAAGGCCACGAGACTGGTGGGGATGCAGGGAAGCCATGGAGCCCAAGCCTAACACAGAAGACATTTCTTTCTCTGGAAGACATGGCTGCAAAGGATGTAAATGCAGCTGTCAAGACTGCAAGCTGTCAAATTTGTTTTGTTCAGTCAAGTGAGTGACCTTTTTTAAATTTGTGTACCGGAATGGAAAAGGTCAAGGTTGATGACTTCAAATCTCAAAAAAATCCCTGAATTTGTTGCAACATCAAAGCTCATGATGCAAGCTTTTTTTAAATTAGGGTTTTATATGGTAAGTAACTTTGCATTGCAAAAATAGGGAGCAAAAGTAGGAATTGTGCTCAAATAATGAAATGTGAGCCTATTGATAACCAGATATTGTTATTGTCAAATATGCATTAATTGATCAACTTGTAGGAATAGTCTTGCTTAGATTCCTTATTCTACAATTAATTTGGCAACCCAAGTGTACTGCTGATTCAGACTGTGTTGTTTTTTTTTTTGTTTACAATCGGAAGTTTTCATTCAATCAAATTCAAATGAGAGTCATTGCTAAATAGGGTAAAAACAGACCTGTTAAGATGCTTTGTTATGAAGAGTGCAGCGAAATCCAGCTCCTGGCTGATTTTTATGAATCTGTGCTAGTTTTCAGTGACTGTGGTCTGGTCACAAAGGGGCTTGTGTACCCCGGAGCAACTTGGTGTTGCTGTAAGGTTGATGGAAACGCCAAACCGTTGAGTTGAGTGAAGGAATTTGGCAAGAGTCATGTGTAATGGAGGGTAGAGGGGTTTCACCAGGTTTTCTGCCACCAGGGAATATGGTTGGCTGACACTTGAGTGTGTAAAATGATAAAACTTTCCACTGATCATTCGAGAAATTTCCAATTTTCCTTGATTGTGGTGATGTTTGAACCAGAAGCAGTACAATGATCAAGTTCAATGTTGACGTGTTTTACAATTAACACAAACTACTTAAGGTTAACCACAGTTATAGATGAATATATATTTGCAGTAAATATAGGTGAACACAAGAAACTTTTAACCTTGCAGACTTGTTGTTTGCATTCTTCTATCCGTTTCGAATAGAATACTAAATATATATATTTCCTTTTGCAGAGGAAGAGGTTCACCAAGTCGATCTAAGTTCCCTTACAACTAAACTCCAACCAGGTATTAATACTATGGGATTTAAAGATGATAGAAGGAATAAAGCTTTATCAGGTAAGATTTGCTTTTTTTTCTCTAATCAAAACTTTTTTTGAGTGAAGATCCGTATTGCTTAAGCATTTCTCATTGTTTCAACGTCATAGAATCATAAAATCCCTACACGGGGGAAGCAGGCCATTCAGCCCATCAAGTCCATACTGCCCCTATGAAGAGCATCCCACCCAGAGGCACTTCCAACCCTTAGCCTGTAACACTTCATTTTCCATGGCTAATCCAAATAACCTGCACATCCCTGGAAACTAATGGCAATTTAGCATGGCCAATCCACCTAACATGCACATCTTTGGATTGTGTGAAGCAGCAGCACTAACCACTGAGCTACCGTGAATATACAAAAATTTAGCAGCTGTAGAGTCGTGTGGAAAAATGTCAACTCTTCTACTTTGGCACTAAGAATAGAAAGAGACAATATTACTTAATTGGAGAGAGAGGATCAGGATATCCTAATATATGAATCTGAGTTAGCATGCAGGTACAAGAAGTTATTAGAAAAACAAAGGAACACTTGGTCTTCATTACAGGACATGAAGTTTTGTTACCACTTTATAAGGGAGATGGAGGATCGGAATTTTGGTCTGGCCACGTCAAGAAGGATATATTTTGAAAATAGTTCAAACAAGATTTACTGGGCTGATTCCTGAGATAAAAAGGTTCTCTATGAGCAAAAGGTTAAGCGGGATGAGCCTATACTCGGTGGAGTTTTGAACAAAACTAGGTGATCTTGTTAAAAATATAAGATTTTGAGGGGGCTTGAGAAAATAGATGCTGCTAGGATGTTTCTCCTCACAAGGGAAGTTCAGATTAGGGAGTTCAGCTTAGAAATAAGGGATCAGTGATTTGAGATACAAGTGAGGAAGAATTTGTCTCAAGGGGTTGTTTATCTTGGCTACCTCTGCATGTCAACCCAAATGGCCCATTACCTCAGCGTACTAGGTGACACCAGTTTTATTGTATGCGATTAAATTGTTATATTGTAATGTGCAAAATTATTTTTTTGTGTGTGTGTGTGTATGTATAACATTTACTTTATTATTAAATCAACATTACTTTATTTAGTAAATCAGCATCGAGGAGAAGAAGGGCGAAAACTAGAATTTGGAGGAATATCTTTTTTTTTGGGAGAATGTTATCTCGATTACATATTTTAAGTAGTTTTAATGAAAAATACTTCAACTTTTTTTTTTAAGAAATCAGAAAGAACTAAGTATTAGTAAATTGAACTAGACTCTGACTACCTTGAATGTGTCCAACCCAACACCTGTTCTTGTTTGAAATGAAACATGTTGGGTGTAAAAAGCATTTGGAAACCTTTCTTTACCTGTTACAGTTACTTACCTGAACTGTGTGTACACAGCACAGTCCATAGAAAACAATACCATCTTCCCTAACCTTACCCCAGAGGAGACTGAGCTGCTGTATTCCACATATGGAGAAGAGACTGGGGTGCAGTGTGCCTTAAGGTAAACGCATTTATTAATTTGCACTCCAAAATAAGCCTTTTGTTTTTAGTATTGAAGAGTTTAAAAAATGGTTTGGGTTTCAAAGTGAATTTATTTGAATTTGTTTGGGTATTTGTGCAGCTGAAATGCTGTCAGCTATTGGATGTCAGTATTGTTTGTTTTTATTCACGTTTTTGTGGCTGTTGCTGATTGGGCTGGCATTTATTGCCCATTTCTATTCTCTTGAGGGGCTGGTGGTGACCTGCCTTCCTCCTTTAACCACTACAGTCCATGTGTTGCAGGTAGACCCACAATGCCCTTAGGAAGGAAATTTTAGGATTTTGAGCCAACGACAGTGAAGGAATGGCAGTACTTTTCCAGGTCAAGATGGTGATTGGCTTAGAGATGAATTTGCAGTTGTTACTGCTCCCATGTATCTGCTGCCCTTGTCCTCCTAGATGCCAGTGGTCATGGGTTTGGAAGGTGCTATCTAAAGATGTTTGGTGAATTTCCACCAAAATGTAGATTACCTGTAGATGGTGCCCACGGCTATTACTGAATATCAGTAGTGGAGGAGGGAGTGGATGTTTTTAGTGTGGTGCCAATAAAGCAGACGGCTTTGTCCACCTGGTGTCATGCTTCGCAAGTGTTGTTGGAGCTGAACTGCAGGCATGTGAAGAGTATTCCATCACACTCCTGACTGGTGCCTTATAGATAGTGGACAGGCTTTGGGGAAATGGAAAGTAGTTACTTACTGCTGTATTCCTAGCCTTCAATCTGCTTTTGTAGCCACTGCATTTATATGGTGAGTCTGGTTGAGTTTCTGTCCATTGGTCTCCTCCCCAAAGATGTTGATAATGGGGGATTCATGGTAATAACATTTGAATGTCAAGGGGCATTGGTTGTCATTTGTGTGGCTTGAATGTTACTTGCCATTTTTTTTTTATCTGTCCGGGTCTTGCTTTATTTGGACATGGACTCCTTCGTTACCTGAGGAGTTGTGAATGGTGAACATTGTGCAACTGTCAGCAAACATCCCCACTTTTGACTTTGAGATGGAGGGAAGGTCATTGAAGCAGCTGAAATTGGTTGGGCCTGGGACACTACCCTGATGAATGCAGAAATGTCCTGCAGCTGTGATGATTGACCCCTAACGACTGCCATCGTCTTCCTATGTGCTGAAACTATGTGAAATCACCTTCATGCAGAGTGCAATCTTTTATGACTCCTTACTACTGTGGTAATTTCACGTGCAGTGTAAAGTTATTCTGAAAAGGACTGGCTGCTCAATGATTTACCTAAAGCCATCTTAGCATGCGCTGTCCAGTGCCTGAAGGCTTTCTTTTTTTAAAAAAAAAATTCATCGAGCAGTGACTTTCTCTTGCCCAGGAAAATGCATTTTTGCAAAGAGTTTTTTTCAGTACTAAGTGTTAAATAAAGCTACTGTTGTAAGTGGACAAGAGTGCTGCCATAAGATTTTCTGCCTGTAGTTGGACCAATGTGAAAGAGTTCAATTACCTGAGTTTAAATAGAGGTGTAAATGGGCCACCAGAGGGCAGCAGATCATTAACTAAGAAGAGCTTATAGTTTTTAACTGGAAATGTTAGATACGGTGGCTATTATTAAATTGTTTTCCCTTGCTGCAGAACAGATTATGTTGAAGTTTTGATTTTATAAGTCTTTGTTCGACTTCCCGTTGTCAGTTCATCATCACTTCAAGACCCTAAATCAACTCGTGGCAAAAATCATGTTGCAATTTTATTGTACAAATAAGATATTTGTTCCTTCAGTTGATTATGTGTTTGCAAGCAATGTTTTGAAAATGCAGAACTTAAATTTCTTTTAAAAGATTTTTAATGTATATTTTCCTGCAGTTTACAAGAATTTGTTAAAGACTGTGGAAGCTCCACAAAGAAATTGGTGGATGATTTGTTGAATCGGATCACTGCGGGAGAACATTCCAAAGCTGTTTATCATTTATCACAGGTAGAAACTTGCATGCTATACTAATCATTGCTGATAATGAGGTCACTACAGATTACTCTGCTCTAAAATAAATATCTAGTTTCAGAATGGATACTTAAGGGAAGAATCACATCAGTAAGGGGACAAACTAGTTGGTTAACCATACAAGACAGAAATCGTTGGAAGTACTCAGCAGGTTGGGCAACATTTGTGTAGAGGAAAGACTAACACTTCAAGTCATTGGCCTTTCAACTCATGGGAGTAAGAACCGGGAAGGCAGATGCATAAAGCATGTGATCTGTTGATTAATAAGGTTTTGGAAGATTTATAATTTCAATACTACCACAGCAATTTCAAATTCCAAAAACAAACTTGACCATGTATGTGAAATGTAAATTCTGCAATAGCTTTACTCTGTGTCAGGTATAGCAGATTAGGTGGCACACTTGCCTTTCACTTTAAGACTTGAGCCTAACAATGGAGGCTGATATTTCTCTGCAGCTTTGAGGATTGCAGTGTTATTGGAGGGGTCCTTGCAATGACATGTTAAACTGAGTCCCCTTCTGATCTCTGTCAGGCATAAAAGATCCCATGGCACTATTTCAGATAAGAACAGGGAAGTTCTTTCCAGTGTCCTGGCCAGTTTCACAGAAGTGCATCATCTTGTCATAATGCTGTTTTGCTGTGTGCAAATTGGGTCCAGTGGGGTTTCCTGTAATACATGCCTGCAGTTTAAAAGTACTGTATTGGCACTAAAGTTCTTTGCACTTTTCACAAAAAAAATGTCTCCATACAAGTCTGTCTAAACATGATATTAATCTAGTGTCTCTTACAATGAAGTCTGCAGAGTACCAAGTGAAAATAAACTTATTTGCCAGTTGACCACCATCACGTTTCTACTTTAGTTTTAAAAGTAAATTAACATGAATATTGTCCCTCCATCAGAACAATAGCAACATAATTTTAAAAAATGTTGTTTGCTAAGAGGTTGAAGTGACATTATTTGTTGATCTTCAAAAGACTAGAAATATAAAGCTTCAATAATAATCTGAAAACATTTTTTCTCTTTTCCCAGAGAGTAGTTAGATGTCAAATGATGATATCATATTAAGAAGCTGGGGCAAATAACTTTGTTTTAGGGGAAATGTGGATAAGTACATGTGGGAGAAATGGATTAAGGGATATACTCAGTAAGGTGGAAGTAGACCTGTGTGGAGCATAACTTCGCCAAAGATTGCTGAATGGACTGTTTGTGTTCTACCTTCTATAAAATAAATTTAATAATGTTAGCACCTTTTTATTTCTTACAGAAAAGAAATGTTGAACAAAAAGCAAGTAAAAATATTGATATGAGCCTTGAAGTTCAGGTATGTAGAACTACCATCACTCTTTTTAATGCGAGCTTTTTTTTTAAAAAAAGAAATTCTGTCAACCATAGCTGTTCAGTGCAAATTGCAATGAGTGGGTGCATGGTAAAGGCACAGGCCCAAGCTATTTGGCAAACTAAAATTGTGCATGCCTGAATTCAAAGTGGCACTTCTGTATTTGGTGATTGTCTTAATATTTCTTTGTGTGTAAGGTACTAGCTAAGCATGCTTGCAGCTCCGGTGTAATGGTCAAACCAAATAGCATGATCACGTTCAGCTTGCTCAATACAGGCATCTCACAATGAGCTGTTAAAGTGGCTTTTGCAAACTGTGACGGTTCGCATTTTGGCCATGGACCGTTAACTAGTCTTTCACGGACACCTATTAAGTATGGACATAGATGAAGGTACTTCACAGCTATCTGTGGAATTAACAAATCTTTGTTTAAAGTTGTTCCAGAACAAAAGACTTTGTAATTTCAAACTGCTTATTTCCATGGTTTCATCCTGGACAAAAGAGAAGATTGAAACTCAATCCAGTTTGTGGTAGATGGAAGTGATTGGTCAATGTAACACCATATCTCCCATTCCATGTTAGCTGGGCTTCTAAAATGATGACCCACAACACAGGATGTTGAATCAGTTTGATCACCATACCATATGTGAACAGTGTCTTGAATTTATGAAAAGCTTCTTGGTGAGATTACTGAGATAACAAGGTGTAGAGCTGATGAACACAGCAGGCCAAGCAGCATCAGAGGAGCAGGAAGGCTGACGTTTCGGGCCTAGACCCTTCTTCAGAAATGGGGGAGGGGAAGGGGGTTCTGAAATAAATGGGGAGAGAGGGGGAGGTGGAGGTGGATAGAAGATGGATAGAGGAGAAGCGAGACATTTGCAGTGGGAGAGAGATCCACTGAGGTTTGTCTGCTTAAATATCAGCCAGGAGAAGCATGCTGACCAAACCACCAGCCCACCTGTGTACCCGACTCAAACTACCTACAAGACACCAAGCAGTCATGCTGCTCAGTCTGCTTTTGTTTCCAAATTCGGCTGAGAACCAACCTCCTAGATATTTGACTAGAAGATACAGAATGTGGGGAAATAGCAACATCTTGAAAAATGTCCAGATTTATAGTGGAGGTGGTGCTGGATGGCTTAAAATGTGTAAAGGTTGATAAATCCCTGAGAGCTGATCAGATGTACCCTAGAACACTTGTGGGAAGCTAGGCAAATGAGTACTGGGCCCCTTGCTGAGATATTTGCATTAATCAATCACCACAGGTGAGATGCTGGCAGACTAGAGGTTGGCCAACATGGTACCACTATGTCAGAAGGGTGGTAAGGGAAACCCAGGGAATTATAGACCAGTGAGTTTGACATTGGTGGTGGCTAGGTTGTTAGAGGGAATTCTGAGGGACAAAATTTGCATGTATTTGGAAAGGCAAGGACTGTTTAGGGATAGTAAACACAGCTTTGTGCATGGGAAATAGTGCCTTGCTAGCTTGAGTTTTTTTTTTGACTAAGTAATGAAAAGGATTGATGAGGGCAGAGCTGTGGATGTGGTCTATATGGACTTCTTCAGTAAAATGTTCAACAAAGTTCCTCATGGTAGACTGGTTAGCAAGGTTAGATCACACTGAATACAGGGAGAAATAGTCATTTGGATACAGAACTGGCTTGAACGTAGAAGACAGAGGGTGGAGGTGGAGGGTTTCTTTTCAGACTGAAGGCCTGTGACCAGCAGTATGCCACAAGGATTGGTGCTGGGTCCATTGCTTTTTATCACTTACATAAATGATTTGGATATGAACATAGGAGGAATGGTTAGTAAGTTTGCAGATGACACCAAATTGGAAGGGGTAGTGGACAGCGAAGAAGTTAACCTTGGAGTACAATGGAATTATGATCAGATGGGCTGATGGGCTGAGGAGTGGCAGATGGAGTTTAATTTGGATAAATTTGAGGTGCTGTGTTTTGGAAAGGCAAATCAGAGTAGGACTTATGCACTTAATGGTAATGTCTTGAGGAATGTTGCTGAGCAAAGAGACCTTGCCATGCAGATTCATAGGTCCTTGAAAGTAGAGTCCCAGGTAGACAGGATAGTGAAGAAGGTGTTTGGTATGCTTGCTTTTGTTGATCAATGCATTGAATATAGGAGTTGGGAGGTCATGTTGCAGCTGTACAGGATATACGTTAGGCCACTTTTGGAATACTGCATGCAATTCTAATCTCCCTGCTATTGGAAGGATGTTGAGAAACTTGTAAATCTTCTCAACCCTTTCAAGGATGTTGCCAGGGTTGGAGGGTTTGAGCTATGGAGAGAGGCTGAAGTAGACTGGGGGTATTTTCCCTGGAGTTTTGGAGGCTGAGGGGTCACCTTTTATAAAAAAAATTTATGAAATCACGAGGGGCATAGATAGGGTGAACAACCAAGGTCTCTTCCCTGGGCTGGAGGAGTCCAAAACTAGAGGGCATAGGTTTAAAGAGAGAGGGAAAAGATTTAAAAGTGACCTATGGGGCAAATCTTCCACGCAGAGGGTGGTGCGTGCATGGAATGACCTGCCAGAGGAAGTGGTGGAGACTGGTACAATTGCAACTTTGAAAAATCATCTAGATGAGCCTATGAATAGGAAGGATTTAGGGGGATATGGGCTAAATGCTGGCAAATAGGACCAGATTAATTTAGGATATCTGGTCAGCATGAATGATTTGGACTGAGAGGTTTGTTTCCATGCTGTACATCTCTAACTCTATGACTACAAGATACTGCTCAACTTGCTGTGTAACCTTTGTTTTACAAGACCCTCACTACCATTTTGAAAGCATCCAATCCGCTTAATAAACTGCAGGCCTGTGACGTGGGAGACCAAGTATTGTAATCACACGCTGAATTAACTGTAATCAGTAAAAGTGTCTGTACCTCATACATGCATGTGGATGCGACACTGTGTGGCATTGCATTATTTGGTGTAATTATGAGCGAATAAATAACATGTAGTTTCAACTCTGAATAGCTTGCTGCTGAATTAATGTCATGCAAGAGTAAAAGAGTAAAGTAATTGCAAGGTATGAATTTTCTTTTCCAAAAAAAGGGTCTGGTCACCATCCTAATGGAAAATAAGGCTGCTCTCATTAGAGAGAGACAACTGATGGTGTTATAACCTGAAGGTCACCATGTCTTGAACAAGTTGAGAAGGAGGGTCCTTCGTGGTAATCCTACAAAAGTGAAAAAAGGACCTCTTCTTGTCTGCAATTAGTATTGTTTTATGTACAGAGCTCATACTGTATGTGTGTTTGAATGAAACCTAAGTAGCATCAGGATATTTTTACCTTCTCGTTCTTAAATTGGTAGAGTTAAGTTATCCTCAGTCAGGTTTCTGAAATATATGCGTAGAATGCAAAATTGCTTCCCCACTTTGCAAATTCATTCTCACTCGGCTGCAGGGATACTCTGGAATATTCCAATACCGAATAATGTTACAATTATAACTTGTTTTAGGTCGGAGATAAGCTGAAGAATGAAGACTGTTGGAGTTATGAAGCTGGATTAGCTTCCTACTACAATACACTGTAGACGCTTGACATCTTCTGGAGTTACTCAGTTGATGAGTACATAGAGAGAGACAACAAGTAGATTATTGTGTACACTGTTCATGGATAATTAAAGTTGTTGAGTCAAGAGGATCTGAGGAAATCCCTTCAACATTTTTTAAAATATTTTATCAGCATGGTTTTTTTCCATTGCTGAGTTTAAATAAAACATACTTTTCACATTGTGAACAAGCATTTTCTTTAAGTGGTGGGTATTGTTGTTTCGAACTTAGGATAAAGAGATCACATTCCTGTTCTTGGTCTACAAAACTTTTTTTTTTCCAAGGGCCAGACTCTCTCTCTCTTTCTTTTTTTTTTCACTCTTTACAAGAACTCTTTACAGTGTTTGAAGATGAAATGTATAGCAAGGGATGGGTAACTGGTATAATCTGAGCTGACTGTCTCTTGTGATTGCTTTGTGAATGTCAAAGCATGACTCTCACAACATAAAGCTAACAAAACCACTGGGTGACCAGCACTTCAAAGGCATAGATCAGGAATGTGGGCAAAATGTATCAAGGGAAGAGTCTGATGACTATCCACCATACTCGCCTGTTTCCTTAGAGACCTTGGAGATGCTTCAGGATTATGCACTGCAGCACGAAAGCACAGATAGCGTGCAAAGCAGAAAAAACTAACTGGTTTTTTCCAGAACTAACTGCCAGTATTTTTTTAGTGTCTACTGTTCAAGGTTAGGCCATTGTAAGTGGTAAATTTTAAACAAAACCGTCAACTCACTATAGTCCTACTGGACCGTAGGACTGTGCTCTCAGAGAGAGAAAGGTGATCTTGGTTTGACCTGGGGGCCACCATGTCTCCGGCCAAGGGGAGAGGTTGAGAAGCAAGGGTCTCACTCACTGTAACCTCAGCTGGTGTGGAACCTGTCTACTTTGCAACCAGTCATCTAGCCAACTGAGCTTAAACAACAAATGGTGAGAATAATGTGAAAAATAAAGACATTTTCACATTTACTGTATCATTATTTTCATTTGTTTATTAATGAAGCATGAGTAGGTAAATCGGGTTACAGATGGTTCTTTTGGCTATCTTGAAGCTCTGCTCAGCATGAATTTTGTGAGCAGACTCATGTAGTTCAACTTATTGTAGTTTTATGGAGTTTGTTCTTGGCTGTGTATGCAGAAAAACTGTATTCAGAGAATTTAAGTTCACTAGTCAAATATACCAAAGCATGGAAATAAATGCCAGAGGTCAGGTTTTTGGCTTTCTTTCCAATTGATAGGCTTTATGGGGTTATTCTAATCTGATAAAGAAGTGACCCACAGATTGAGAGCTCCTTGCTTAGTTTAGTGCCAGGTAGATTTTTTTTTTAAAAATGGTACTGAACCCACTATTAGGAATAATATGATTTTTTTTTTTTTCCTAGATCTACAAATATATAAAATGAAAGAGAGTGGCTAAGGTAAACATTCATCCTTTGAAGGATGAGAAGGGGGATTTAATAATGGAAAATGAGGAAATAGCCGAGGCATTGGACAGGTATTTAGGGTTGGTCTTCACAGTGGAGGACATGAATAACATGCTAGTAGTTGATGACAAGGAACCAACCAACACTACCTCTTTCATGAAAATGATCAAGCTGATGGAGCTCAAAGTAGACAAGTCTCCTGGCCCTGATGGAATGCACCTCGGGTATAAAAGAGATGGAGTGAGAAATAGCAAATGCTCTTGTGGTAATTCTCTAAAATGTGCTGGACTTTGGGGCAGTTCCAGCAGATTGCAAAACAGCAAATGTGACACCGCTGCTCAAAAAAAGTAGACAAATGATGGGGAATTATAGGTTAGTTAACTTCTGTATTGGGAAAATGCTTGAATCTATCATCAAGGCAGAAATAGCAAGACATCTAGATTAAAAATTGTCCCCTTGGGCAGATGCAGCATGGGTTCATGAAGGGCAGGTCATGTCTAACTAACTTACGGGAATTCTATGAAGACATTACGAGCGTGATGGATAACAGGGACCCAGTTGATGTAGTGTATCTGAATTTCCAAAAGGCATTTGACAAAGTGCCACACAAAAGGCTGCTGCATAAGATAAAAGTGCATAGCATTAAGGGCAATGCATTAGCATGGGTGGAGGATTGGTTAACTAACAGGAAGCAAAGAGTGGGAAAAATTAATGCTTTTCTGGTTGGCGATCACTACTAGTTGTGTGCCTCCGGGGTCAGTGTTGGGACCATCTTTGTTTACAATTACAAAGATGATTTGGGGTTGGGGACCACGTGTAGTGTGTCAAAGTTTGCAGATGACACTGAGATGAGTGGTAGAGCCAAGTGTGCAGAGGACTCAAAGTTTGCAGAAGGATGTAGGTAGTTTAAGTGAATGGGCAAAGGTCCAGCAGATGGAGTACAATGTTGATAAATGTGAAGTCATCCATTTTGGTAGGAATAGCAGTAAAAGGGACTATTACTTGAACGGTAAAAAAAATTGCAGCATACTGCTGTGCAGAGCGACCTGGGTGTCCTTGTGCATGAATCGCTGAAGGTTGGTTTCCAGGTTCAACAGGTAATTAGGAAGGCAAATAGAATTTTTTGTTCTGCATTGCTAGAGGGATTGAATTTAAAAGCAGGGAGGTTATGTTACAGCTGTATAAGGTGCTGGTGAGGCCACACCTGGAATACTGCATGTAGTTTTGGTCCTTGTACTTGAGGGAGGATGTACTGACACTGGAGAGTGTGCAGAGGAGATTCACTTGGCTGGTTCCAAAGTTGAGAGGGCTGGCTTATGAGAAGAGACTGAGTAGACTGGGATGATATTCATTGGAATTTAGAAGAATGAGGGGGATCTTTATAGAAACATATAATTATGAAGGGAATAGATACGTTGAAGCAATGAGGTTGTCTTCACTGGCAGGTGAAACTAGAACAAGACAGCATAGCCTCAAAATTAGGGGGTGCAGATTTAGGACTGAATTGAGGAGGAACTTCTTCACCCAAAGGGTTGTGAATCTGTGGAATTCCCTGCAGAGTGAGGTAGTTGAGGCTTCCTCATTGATTGATTGTTTTTTTTAAAGCTAAGATTATTTTGAACAGTAAAGGAATTAAGGGTTATGGTGAGAGGGTGGGTGAGTGGAGCTGAGACCATGGAAAGATTAGCTGTGATTTTATTGAATGGTGGAGTGGGCTGAAAGGGCCAGCTGGCCTACTCCTGCTGCTGGTTCTTATGTTCTTATGTATAAGTAGGAGCAATCTACCATAAATGTTTATTGGGAATGAAGCTCCAGCTAACATGTGGTGTCCCTACATTTGAGGGATTGCAGCGGTTGGGCAGTCAGTGTCAACAATACTCAATCCCACGTATAACTTATTGTTGACTGGTACGGTGGTGGATAGCACAAAATGCAATAAGTAAGTTGGGGAGAAGGGAAATCTGTCTCGTGGACACTGGCCTGGAATGTTTTGATCACCTTTAGTGATTTCAATGAGGCCTGTCTGAATTGGTTGAGTGTATTTTTCTGCTATTTTTTTTTTTTAATCACTCTAAGGAGGTTGAGGTTGAAAGCAGATGTATGAATTGAGCCAGGATGTTGTTCATATTTCACCATAACTATATGGAGCAGGGAGGATGAACCAACTGATCTTTTGATGTCCCATAATTTCTTTTTTATTCATCTCGTTTACTTGTTTGAATGTCATTTGTGGAATCCCTGTAGACTATAAAGAGGTCTTTTTGCCTATTAAGTCTGTAACAGCTCTTTTTGTGAGAATATTTCAGTTAGTGGCACTCCCTGCCCTTTCCTTTGTGATACCCTTTCCTTTGTGTGATTCTATAAACTATTCTTTGGTGTTTTTCTAACTCCCTTTTGAGAGTCACAGTTGAATCTGCCTGTACCCAAAATATATTTCAGTTCCTAATGCACCCTCCTTTAAAAGAAAAAGTTATTCCTGGCTTTTCCATTGCAGCTCTTGCCCATCACCTTAAGTAGGTCCCCTCTGGTTCTCTGCCCCTCCACCAATGGAGCCATTTTTTTTTTTTTTTTTTTTTTGTCCGCTCTGTCGAGACCATTCATGAGAAGAGGTGTTCAAAATCAACTTTTTTTTTCAAAGGATAACACCTGGCCTGGGGTGGTGTCTTCATTCCTGCAATTGAGTAAATGAGAATTGCATGCAAGAGATAAGGGATAGTTTGAGATTGCTACCATATCTAGAAAATACTAAAATTTGATATGTTTATGAGCTATACAATTTCTTCATCATAAACTTGCAATCTGAGAGCTTGAAATGACAAAGAAATTTGTGAAGACATTTTAGCTAGTTAAGTGACCTGTGCTCTTCTCCTCCAGTTCTAATCTATGAAGAAATTTTAGATTCCTCTTCATAAATTTCAATGGTCAGTAGATAACTGTAATTTCTGTATATTGCTCAATTTTCTGATTCAACCACAAAGTATACTTATCTTTTCTACCTCCACCATCATCTTAACCATTCCTTGCTTTGTTGTAGGCGCCAGCAATTTTCATTAAAGAGGAACCTAAACTGCAGCCTGCCTGTCCAGAAGCATCTAAACCATTAATGGTGAGATGATCTAACTGTTCCTAGGTTATGTTAAAAGTATAATGCAAATAGCATTTTAGGTAGAAAGAAAGACTTGCATCTATACAGTACTTGTTGCATCTTCAGGATGTCTCAACATGCTTTACAACCAATTAAATACATTTTTGAAGTACCAGTCACTGTTATAAGAAGCATGAGTCCAACTTGTGCACAACAATCTCTCTCCAACTGTACTATGATAGAGCAGAATAAAGATCATATTATTTAATACAACTCAAATGATCATAACTTTGAGTGTTAGCTTGCATTTATCTGGGATTTTTCATGTTCCAAAAGCGTATGAGGCTTTGTAGGATACCTGGGAATAGTGAGTGGAAGCTTAGTGAAACGATGTGCTTTGACCTGGCAAATCTGGAGCTGAAGATAGAAAGTTTCATGGGTCTGTGAGGTACTTGCCAGAGCTGCAGCTATACATCAATAATGCTCAGAATACAGCAAAAGAATTAGGTAGTTAATTTTCCTGTTTGTGAATTCTGAGTGAGTGATTTGTCGTGGCATTTTTCAGCTTACACCTTGCTGCTGCAGAACATATGATTAAGGTATAACCTAGAGAAGCACTGGCATGGAGAAAACCATTGAGTTTATTTTTAAAAAGCTATTTAGTGGTTAAGCTAATGAGTATTCAAACCTAAATGACATCTGTGGTGAGGTTGTTTTTATATTGCTGAAAGACTTGTGTTTGGTTTGAGACCAAAGAGGAACGTTTGGTTCTTTGGCTTCCGATTTGTTATATTTGGTAACATCAAATACTGTGGTTGGTGTCGGTCAGACCCCAGACCATGGTCAATGGCCATCATCTAAACAGATGACTGAGAAGTCTAAATAGCAAGGGAACAAATCTCCCTGGTACACTCCTAACTTGATATCTGTATAGAAACAGATACAAATGTCCATGAGCACAAAAGGGAACAGGGGTAAGTTCTTTGAAATTATTTGAGTAACTAAGAGGAAAAGGTAATATATTTGTATCTTCAGCAAATACTACAAATCCACCAGAGGTGGTAGAGCTAAAATAGAAATACTTGTAACATAAAGGATCAAGAATGGAAGGATTCTGAGTCAGAAGAGATTCCTGTAGCTTAAGGTAGTTTTACAAGATAAACTCGTAAAATTTTACAAATTCTACAAAGTCTTCGTATCCTTTTGAGTATTTGAGTGGTGCATCTGTTGATACACAATTTTATTGACAACATTTGCACAAAGGTGGGCTTGTGGGTTTGATGTCCACTTAAAGGCCTCACTTTCCAACTCTGCAGCAGAGGGAATTCAAAAATCAAATGTAGGTTTCTGCAGGGGCTCCTTGTTATCGGGTATACGGTGACTGATTTTGAGACATCCAGTATCTGGATTGGGAAAGAGAGCCAACATCCGCCCAGCCCATTCTCCAACCCCACTTTCTACAACCGCCATCGAACACTCTGCAGTTGTGGCCTGGATGTCTTGCTGATCCTGGGTCTGTATCACTGCATCTCCCTGGTGGCAGTGACAGCAGTGAGGAGCATTGGTCATTACCACTTAAAATGACAGGCTTTTCTCAAGAGAAGGTGCTGTGGGGCCTCTGTTGGCTCACATTCTGGCACACAAGACCCCTGTCCATTGGATTAAATTCCACCTTATGTGTGCAGCAGATGTTTATCATCTTTGAGTTAGATCCTTTTCATTATATAATGTTGTCTAATCGACTGAATTGTTGAGGAGATTTTGAGTCCTAGTTCATATCATTTCCATATGCATTTGCATTGTGGGTCTCTAAAACACACAACTAGCAAGATGATGCAGTGATTGTGTAGAATGCATCCTTGGACGATTCAGGCAATTTAGCATGGCCAGTTCACCTAACCTGCGCATCTTTGGACTGTGGTAGGAAACTGGAGCACCTGACGGAAACTCATACAGACACAGTGCATACTCCACGCAAATAGTCACTCTAGACTGGGTCAAACCTGGATCCTTGGTACTGTGAGGCAGGGGTGCTGACCATTGAGCCACTGTGCCCACAATGTTCCTGTCATCCAAAAATAACCCTATTTTAGATCATGAACATAAATCATTTCTTAATTTTTCCCGACAGCAACTGTTCAAAACAAAAAAACGACACCTGGACTTGTGATTAAAAATAATGAGGCGATGTCAGCACTCACCATTGAATTTTAAATTGTACAGCAACTTCTAGTGACCACAAATGTGCATTTAAACATGGAAATCAAGAAGCTGTTGCACAAGTTACTTTGCTTTTCTAGAGACTTGGTAAGATCAGTATCTTAAGCTGAAATGGCCAAGCAAGTCAGTGACTTCAAGGCCTATTAAGGATGGGCCATAAATGGAAATTAGTGGCAATTTTTGGACAAATAGCCCTCATATATTCTAAAAGGTATAGCTGGAGAGATAGTTGGGTGCATTTGGTTTGACCTTCCAGAAGTCCTGTAATTTTGGCACAGTATCCAGCAATTAGAAGATAATAAACTTAATTATGCTATCTTAAGAAATGAAGGTTAATGGACAGAAAGCAAAAGTAGGAATAAATGTAATATTTTAAGATTAACTTTTGGAGCACTGTTCTGGTCACCCTGTTATAGGAAGGATATTATTAAATTGGAGTGGGTTCAAAAAAGATTTACCAGGATGTTGCCAGGACTGGAGGGTTTGAGTTATAAGGATAGGCTGGATTTAAGGGCATAGCTAAGGTGAATAGTGAAAGTCTTTTCCGTAGGGTGGGTAAGTTCAAAACTAGAGGGCATATTTTTTACGGTGAGTGGAGAAAGATTTAAAAGGGACCTGAGGGGCAACTTTTTCATGCAGAGGGTGGTTCTTGCGTGGAATGAACCGCTAGAGGAAGCAATAGATGCAGGTACAGTTACAACATTTAAAAGACGTTTGGATAGGTACGTGAATAGGAAGGGTTTAGAGAGATATGGGCTAAATGCAGGCGAGTGGGACCAGGTTAATTTGGGAAATTTGGTTGGCATGAACACGTTGGACTGAAGGGTCTGTTTTTGTAATGTATGACTCTGACTCTGTTTGAATGGGAAATATATTAGCAAAACCGTTCTAATCTCAAGCATTGCTTGGTTAGATTTTCAAATACTTGAATTGTGAATTGACCTACTGATGTTAATAGGCACACACCTATAATACCTGCAGAAAACCATTATTGAGGTGTGAAATGCCATATGTCCACAGCCTGAGAGAATAATTATGAACATGAGTTTGGGGTAGGAGTACATTTCTGCCTATAGCTAGTAACTTTTCACCCCCTTGTTCACCAAGAATCTATCCGCATCTGTCTCAAAAAGTATTCAAAATTTTTGCTTCACTGCGTTTTGAGGAAACAGCGCATTTTTGAGACATTACAGGATCATAACTCTAACCTGTATTTTATGGTTAAACTTTGTAGTTTAAAAACACAACTTTGTGCTACTTTAATTACTACAGGCTGGAGGGGCAAATGGTGGTGCAGGTGATAACCGTCCTGGCTTGGATTTCATCCCTGTGAAGTCCTATTCGGATGTCTCCTTGGATATTTCTTTATTGAACTCACTAGGTGAGTTGTACTTTGTACATGGTCTCTTTTCACGGTCTATTTATTAAAAGCTTTCAGCTGGATAGATGTACATTTATCTGAACAGATACATGTACACAATTGATTGTTTTTACAATAATGCAAAAATTGGAAATTGCAGTTAAGAGAAATACTTCCCTAAAAATCATGAACAAAAACAGAAGTTGCTGGAAAAGCTCAGCAGGTCTGGCAGCATCTGTGAAGAAAAAATCAGTAACGTTTCGGGTCCGGTGACCTCTTTAAAAATCATTGCTGACCACATCGTTTTGAGATGCCAGATTTGCTTTGCAGTTTCTGAAATTTGTCTTCACGCGCTTTTAAGTTTGTAAATAACGAATTGCAAATTTATCTCTAGAGTGTGCTTGTGATGTTTAGCTGTTAAACTTAAGTTACCCTTTTTGTAGCAGTCATTCAGACACTGGGGTAATGCTGTATGCATATTATCTTTTAAGGTTTGTGGCTTTTTTACTCCTAACGTACCACTCCAAGTTATCTTGTGGTCAGAAAAATGGATGGTGGCTGTTGAGGAAGAAAGTATGTTATCTATCTCTGACATCAGTAGTGTTGTAAGGAACAAAACCATGACTTGATGAAAACTTGCATATACTCGATAGTTCCTTGTATGTATACACTGTTTTAAAATTTTGTGTAGCAAGGGAAGATGACGTTCAAATGAAAGGAAACAATGAAGATAGCTGAAGAAATAGTTGTCTATACTGTCAGTTATAGCAGAGTGGATAATGCACACTTCCCTGAATCACAGAGCTGTGGGTTCAAGTTCCACTCCAGAGACTTGAAAGCAATCTTGGCCATTGTAGTATAGGGGGAATACTTGCCCACTAATCGTGTCTGTGCTGTCAGGTGAACATTGTAAGAACTAACAACGTTTGAAGAGCAAGCGAATTGTTTCACGTGTTCTGGATGATGCTTATCTCTCAGTTCACAACATTAAAGGCAGATCTGGTATCATCAATTGTTGCTTGTTGAAGCTTACTGTGCTCCAATTGACTGTTGCTTCATACAGCCATAGCTACATTTCAAAAGTACTTCTGTCCTTGTAAAGCACTTTGCAACATCTTGAGGTTGTGAAAGGTGCTATATTAATGCAAGTATTTAATTTTATTTGATACTAACTTGATGGCTTCAAACACTGCCAACCTTTCTGTATATATTCTTGAGACCTCCTGCGTTTCTTGATCTAATGAATTTTCAAATCCTCTAATGAATTTTTCTTTTTTTTTTGTTTTCCTTTCCTTGAATCATTTGTATCTATGTATCCTTGAGCAGTTGAGTGAATGTGCATCAAAGCATTGCAGGTCATTTGCAAAAATAATTTTTAATTGGTCACACCTGTAGTTTGGAAGGTTTTTGATTTTCGACCTGAGATGCTTCAGAAAAGCAGCATGAAACACACAAATTATTAGCAAAGAGGAATCGTGCATCCAAGTCTTTGTCTGTCAAAATTTACTGATTGCTATACTGCCATGATTGGAATTGGGTTATGCAGCGGGGTTGCAGACTCTTGTATCAGCTCTGGAATGCAAGTTTAAAATTGAAGTTAATCTGTCCATTGTCAACTTAGTTTCTACCAAATTTGGATTCTAAGCTTCTAAAAAAAAAACTAATTGAGTGCTATAGCATCATCCTTATTCTAAAACCAGAGGATGCCTGGTGTGGAATCAGTGATGCATTAGGAAGCATCCTTTAGGAGCCAAGGCAGATTGTTGGATCAGATTACTTGGTGCTTTACATGTACTAGACTGGAGTGTGCTCCATGACAACTGTAGCTGAAGTGAAAAGTCTTTTATGTCATATCATGACCATACCTTGCCCTAGGAAAATTGACAGTTTTTTAACATGCAAAATGTAACTGTTTAATTTGTACCAAGAGCATTTTGCGTACCCTGTCCCTTAAAAGCTTGTCCAGTTTCCTAAGCTGCCTAAACCACCTTTTTAATTAAAACTGTGTCACCTTTTTAGGGAAAGTAGTGAAGAAGGAACCTGATCACGATGATAACCAGAGAAATCTGGATGAGACCACCAAGTTGCTGCAGGACTTGCATGAGGCTCAGACAGAACGTGTTGGTTCCCGACCTTCCTCAAACCTCAGCTCAATCTCCAGTAACTCCGACCGTGAGCAGCATCACCTAGGTATAAGCTAAGTTTAAAAATAGCCTTCATTTAGTTTGTGCCTGTGGTGCACAAGGATTCGTTTTATTCTTCAATAATTTTCCTCAAGCCCATCCTTGATTTTGTTGGAAAAGTGAAACTTAATTTGGCTCTGCATGTTCTTTGTGGTACTGCAGATTTAACTAATGAGAACAATTACCGACGAGGGAGATTATATTTTATCCAGTCGCTCTTGTGTTTACACAAATATACTGTTGTTACTTTCTCCTTATTTTCTCATCTTCTCCCATCCTCTTCCTCTGTTTGCTTTCAACTCAGTTAAATAAAGAGTGGTGGAAATATTTATAAGAACTGACAGCATCTATGGAGAGAGAAACTGTTCACGTTTCAAGTTGACTGACTTAGACAAATTAATGTAGAGTTGAATATCTCTCCCCACAGATGCTGCCAGGTCTGTTGAGTATTTCCAGTACTTTGTTTTCATTTCAAATGGCCAACATCTGCGCTGTTTCGCTTTTATTATTGTATCTAACTGTTTTAATGGTTTCAGTGTTGTTGTCTTTACTAACTAACCTAAAAGACTATTCCAGGTATTAATCACTTCCTGTGAAGAATTGCATCAGGGTATCAGTTCTGAAATTGCTTTTTATTAGTTTACATATATAATCACTTAATCTGTATTTTCATAGAATTTGACTCCAGAGTATTTTTTCTCTTTTCATTTGTTGCTTTTTTTTTCACCTGTTTTAAGGTCCCCTCTCATGCACCTTTTTCACAGTTGAAGAATGCAAGTTTTACATCTCTGCTGGAGCCAATCCTTCCTTAGTTAAACATAGTCCTAACTTTGGTTCAGCAATATACTGTCATTGTTTCATAAATTAGCTGCAGATACTGCTGTTGCAATGTGTTATGTATGGTTTTGAATTTAATTCGTATTGTGTGCAATTTACTCACAAGAAGCCCTGCAGTAGTGTGCAGAAATGATACGCCTTTATCTAAAGTACAAACTGTATCTAAAAGCATATTGGGGATTTGTGCTTGTGAAAATATGCAGCCAAATAACTTGTCTAATGTGTAGCCTGAACCATCTCTTTATAGCTTAAAATATTCGCTCATTTATCACCTAAGTGAACTTGCATCCTTTTGCAAAAGAAATCATAGGATCATATAGTTCAGAAGAGGCCTTTTTTCCCCATTGAGTCTGTACTGCCAAATGTACACTAAATCTACACAAGTCTCACTTGTTCCAGCACTAGCCCCTTAACCCTGAATGTTATGATACTTCAAATGCTTATCCAAGTACGTTTTTTTCAGATTGAGGTTAACCGCTTCAGGTACCTTCCAGGCAGTGCATTCCAGATTCCCATCACCCTCTGGTGGGGAAAAAAAAAAGCCTCCAATCTCCTCTAAACCTCCTGCCTTTTAAAATTATTTCTCCTTGTTATTGACCCTCCATCTAAAAGGGGAACAGCTGCTTTCTATCCACCCTGTCCGTGCCCCTCACAATCTTGTACTCCTCAATTAGGTCCTCTCTTAGCCTTCTCTGCTCTAAAGGAAATAATGGGAGCCTATTCAGTCTCCTCCTCTTAGCTAAACTGCTCCACCCCAGACAATGTCCTTGTGAATCTCCTCTGTGCCCCCTCCAGTGTAATCATATCCTTCCTAAAGTGCGGTGACCAGAACTGCACACAGCACTCCAGGTGTGGTTGATCCAAATGTGTGATCGTAGATGTGAAAAATGTGATCTTGTGTGCTGAATGTGTGGAAATATAAAGAATGTGTATAGTTTAACTGTACCAGTGGCATCAATGCTAAACTGATGATCTTTTTTTGTTTTGAAAGTCTCAAGTGCAAACATAATTTTAGAAATACAAATCTCACCCAGTGTAGATATTTTTAATGACTGCTATATTGTGAATCATAAGCCAGTATTTTGCTAATGTCGCATTAGCCCAATGCTGAAAGTGTAAGGACTGCAGTACTGCTGGGGAAATCCAGTTTGGCATTCCAGCCTCCAGGATGTAATCTGTATTTGATTTTGTTTTTGTCAATTAATCAATACAACTATCTTCTCCAGGGAAAATGCTATTTTTCCACTAGTTGCAGATGTGAGAAAGGGGACTTTAAGTTAATTTCAGTACTCTGATTAATGGCCTAAAATGCACTTTGGTAAAGTTAAGTTATATAAGCTTCAGAAGTTTTCCCGGTATCTTTATTCAATAAAACCTATTATTCTTTTGTGTATGATGTATTTGCATTAACTATTGTCCAGGACTCAGTTTTAAATGAGTTTTTTTTATATTTAAATCTCCATCAGCAACTGGACGTTCACCACTGATTTTCTTTTTTAAATGGCATGTTATTTTATAGACAGTCATGCTAAATACCTTCATTTTTTCAAATGTACAGGATTACGTGAAGTATGTTCTGAAAGCCTTTGTACCACGTATTGCATCCGTTGCACACCTGAAAGGAGAGCTAAATATGTATTGGGCGGGGGAGGAGAGAGGGATTAAAAAGTTATGCTGATAGATTAAGTCGAAGAGAAGTGGAAGGAAGCTGTGTGGTGTATAAATACACGGATGGACCAGTCGGGTCATATGGCTAATGTGTGTTCTACATTCTATATAATTTGTAGAGTTTATTTGCTTAGCAGCTGGATTGGGTGGTGACATGGGAAAAGCTTTTTGCGGTTAAGTAAAACTTGTAACAGTAATTATCTATTTTTAAAGTCTTAATTCAATCAGATGGATTTTATATTTTATATACTGATGTAGTTATGTTTGTGAATGACAAAAGATTAGCTACATAGCAGGGAGAGTGAAAATCACTTGAATTCAAGTTTGTTGAAATTGATCTGGAAAAATGACGACTGGCAATCAATGTTTGAATTACATCAGTTTCTATTTTTCATAGGTGCTTAAATATAGAGAAACGCTTGAATGGTTTGCTGGAAATTAACAGGCAGCCAATAAGTGAGAGGGAGAAAGAAATAAAAGACTCAAAGGCTATAAACCTTATCGAAAGAGAAGGGGTTTGAACTTTCATGAAAGACTGGAGCAAAGTAATAGGACTGATAACCATCTATAGCTCCTTTCTCAGGCTAAGCAGAGGAAGCACTAAGGATGAGTATAGTAAGTAAATAAACCTGACGGAAATAGAGTTGGAAGGACAAAGTGAAGTTGAGGAGATATTTGAAGATGGTGAGTGTTACAATTCAGGTTGAGACCTCTGAATTTGTTACAGTCCACTCAGGGTTCAGTAACATTTATTAATAATAGATAAAGTTTGAGATCCCAGTTACTTGGGGAATAAAACCACAAGATTCCCTGGTTTTGAACAAACTAAACTGTTTTACTTGTCTAACTTTTGTTATACAACCTACTATCTATAGGTAATTCTGGATGTTGGAGTATGAAGTCGGTTTGGGTTAATGGGTAAAATTGTACACCTGACAAAACATCAAGTAGCTGATGCTGTCAAGACAGGTCCCGTGGATTTCTTAGCAACTCATTCAGATGTTAATGACACTGTGGAGCATCACATCTCATTAAAACTTTACCTCCTTCACAAGGGATTCCAACTCCTCAATTCTGAATATCTCACCCTGCAACACCCTCCTGTTTCATTCAAACTTAGACCGTCTTAATGACTAGTGGTTCAATCTCTCCTGGGACTGTCCCACTGAACTCAAAGCTGACTCTTGCTGCTAGCTCTTCCATATTGCCAATCTCATCCTTAAAACATTAAAAAAAAATACATTTTGGGTGCAAGATTTAATTTTTTTTTCATGACCATGCATTTCTCATGTATGATTTCAGTAAATTTTATGGAAATTGGCACGATCAACACAGTCAAGCAATTGCTGTGACCTGGATGTCACCATGGTTGCCATCTATGTTGGCCAAATCATTACTCAATACAAAATCTACCGTTCAGTAGATTAATGAGACAGAATTTCCGCAATCACTTCATTTACTCAGAGCAAACGCATAAATCCCATGCCCATCCCTTATTAGTACAACTTCCATCAAACTATCTGGTTCACACATTAGATCAGCCACTCTCAATGACTGCACTGCTTCACCGTTGTGAAATATTAATTCTTTTCTTTGAAAGGATAAAAGTATACTTTCTTGGAAACAAAGCCTCCATGACCTCGAGTAACCTGATTCACTTTGGCAAAGAAGAATCTCCATTTTTTCCCCAGTACTTTGAGGGAGAGTGTTTGTTTCATTTTGTAACATCGCCAGTGTTTTAACTCCCATTTCCTTTTCTAGTACAAACTTCCCTGCAACTTCCTTGAGCGTTCCTTTTACTGATGCTACAGTTCTACTTCCAACATTTTTCTTTTATATGTCCTGTCTTATGTCTGTGAAAACATACCAGTTTATTTACATCACTTCTTTTTTCTTTCGTCTCATTTTTATTAGCTGGATTAGCTTCTGTCTGCTCCCTAAAGCCTTTTATAAAGAAATATCCACTGAGCCCCCTCGACCAAGCTAGCTCTGATTTATCGTACCCATCTGTTAGAACTGCCACTTCCCTTATTTTAGAAACCTTGTCTTCACGGTACAACCTGATAGTTTTGGAATAGCGTCTCAAAAACCCTTATTATCATGAACTCCTTCTCCATTCTGTTCATGTTTCAATGCCCAAAACCACCAATCCTACAATGTTTCTTTCTCTCCAGCAAATTCTATGAACTCCTCATTTCAGACTTTAAAGGAAAGATTTAATTTCAACTGTTGTGCTTCAGAAACATGCTCTTAAGCATAAAGTCTTTTCTCCTTCAGCAATCTCTCTGGATCAGGGATAACTTTCCCCATTCTAATGTGTGAGTCCAAAAGCGACTACTACAGCACTGGATTAGCAAATGTTGAATTTTGTAGTTTACATCAGCACTCACCTGAGAGCTGGCTCCCAAGGTATGGTAATTCATCTGTGTTTTTTCAGTGACTTGTCATTCATCCTGATAATTAGACAGTGTTGTGCAGTGGGAGCAGGATGGTAGAGAACCC